GGTGGCGCATACCTTTTATCCCAGCCAGAGGGAGGCAGAAGCAGGTGGATCTCTGTAAGATTGAGGCCAGCCTGGTGCGCATAGTAGCTTCCAGGTAGGCTGGAACTAGGGAGATCCTGTTGGGGACTGGCAGTCACAAGTGACCACAGTTCCTGGCACTGGCTCTTAACTTCCAAGCACCAAGATCTTAAAGTGACCCCACGAGGGTTAAATCCATTTCCCCACTGATGGGAAGCAGGTCTAGAGACTTGAATAGCTAAGACACTTAAAGCTGTGTTTATTAGGTGTGTAGAGACTGGCTTGCTATCTACAGCTGGCACCCTGGATACTAAACTCTGTTCTGCTGCCGGCATTTCTGTACTGTGCTTTCACATACCTGTCGACCCTGTTATCTAGCAGCCCCCCCGAGAATGCAGGCACACCTCTGCTGTGTGTCTTAAAGGGTCTCCCAACTCCTGCGCCTGTACTTTGAGTGAAACCAGAGGAGCCTGGCCCATGTGGGGACAGCTGTGCCTGAACTGAAGCTGGTCTCTCCTAGTCTCAGCCCTGCCTTGGGGCCACACAGGGCAGCTTCCTTTGTCCCTTTGCAATTTGGAGGGTGACTGAGCCCCTTACTTTCTATGCTAAGCAGCCCCATTCTAAACCCGCCCACTCCCATAGCTGGGAGGCTACTCCTAGTCAAGTGAGCTTTTTGATTGTTGCAAGTTTTGTTTTTGGTTTTGGGTCTCCACCCTCCTTGAAACAATGGGGAATTTGCCCAACTTTTGTGTCACTAACCTTTTAGCAAAAAAAAAGATCAGAGTTGAAAAACAGCTTATGGGCTGACTGGAAGGCTATCAGATAAGGCTATGCCCCAGGAGCCAAACAATGTCCTCTTGTTCCTGCTGCCAGTCCTCACAATGAGCTGCTGTTGGGGCGAGCTCTGCCGCCAACCAACAGTGGTTCCCCGCACCTGTGCCTGTATTTCCTGGCCTCTGGAATGAGTGGGTCACAGCTAGTAGTCAGCCCTGCTGTGGACCTTGCCCTCTCCAGTGCCCCATGTCTACTATGGGGTGATTGAAAACCAGCCTATGGCATCTTCTAGTAGAGTCAGTCTTGGTTCCCTTGTTAGTCAGATCTTCTGTGGTCACTTGCTACCACAAGATCTCAGGCAAGTTGCTTCTCTGTTAGAGGATGCTGTGCCTTCGTCCTGTCAGGGCTGTGATGAGAATTCAAGGAGATAGGCAGGCAGGGTGGCATGGAGTAGGGGGCTCAATTGGCATGGGTGTGGACTGTCTACCAAGAGAGATCAGGTACAGCATCATGGGGGTGGCATTGGGCTTTGAAATCCCAGGGTTTTATTAGAGAGATGGATGGAAAAGGTAGGAGATGGCTTGATTATTAGCCAGCACGATTTTTGAGGCAGTGCTTGGGCCCTAACTTGGGACCTCTTGGACCTATTAAAGACATGGGTGGTGAGTGGGGAGAGGAGGAAGTGGTGACTGTCCCTGTCTACCCAAGGAATCCAGGAAAACTTCATGGAAGATGAATGATGATGCTGATGTTGAGTTTGGTGGGACCAGGACAGGAACACTTCTTGGCAGAGTAGTCAAGTGCTGGCAACCTGCGGAGACTTAGGAAGTCCCTGGAGTGGAGCAGCCCAGCAGGCAGGCCACTAAGCAGTGGGCCTGGTCAGTTGGAACAGATAGAGGGACTCTAGCCAGCAGCCCAGACGGCAGGACTAGGACAGAATGGAATCCTATGATCTTTAAATGGGAAGTGAAGTGCCCCCCCCCAATTGTCCTTACAGCTCTTCCTCGGTATGTGCCCCCCAGTCCCACTGCTTTCCACTGGAGGCAGGAACCCTTCCTTTCTCAGCTCAAGAGTTGGAATGTGGAAGCAGTGCTAGAAGGATAGGATGTTGTTCTCAGTGTCTCTGGTTGGGTGAGGACAGCATCTGCCTCTTGGACTTTTGAAGATTCAAGGTGATGTGTGTGATGGTTTATGTGCCTTACAGCCCAGGGTAAACCTTGCCCAGGCGTGCTAGCCCTGCTCAGGTGAGGGGCAGACCTGTGCCTTGAGACCTAGTTCTATGCTTCTGAGTGTAGTGTAGTACACAGTTCCTGGCAAGGTTGTGAGAAGTTAATTAGTCAGACCTGAACTGTGGAGGTGATCCTCAGTATAGGCCCCAACTGAAGGCATTTTGTCCCCTTTAGTGTCACCTTGCCAAAAGAACTAAGGCTTTGGTCTTTGGGGACTATAGAGGAGGTGGGGGTGGGCATCATAAGACTGAGCTGGGTGCCATGCAATTGGCTACCTTCCCTTCACCCAGTCATGGTCATTGAGAGGGGTGGCACTTGGGCTAGGGGATGGCAGAGGTCTTTTGTAGAATAGCATCAGCCCCAGTCTGCCACTGCACACAGCAGCTAAGGGCTCGATGGGGAATGTCCCATCCCAATGGGGAGCCTCCAGCAGATCAACTTCCTAAGCCCACCTTACCTTTCTATAAAGTGGTAGGTGAAAATCTTGGTAGGGTGCGTGCAGTTTAAAGTGAGGAAAAGAATGTGTAGGTGCCTACCCCATGCTAGTGGTGGGAATTACTTATGGGCACCCCTTTCCTTAGGAGTAGAATAGGAACAAGACAGGCCAGTGCTGCTCATCTTCTTTCACCTGAACTTTCCACTTATGGAGGTTGTGCTCGCTCACTGCCCCCTTGCAGCCAGGGCAATTTGGAGTGATGTAATCCAACTATGTGTAGTGTGAGTAGAAGACAGAATAGGATAAAGTCCTGACTTGGGGGACTGATGGGGCAGGTGGTCCTTGATGTGGCATGCTTAGAGGTATTGCTTCCTAGAGAGGTGCTTCTTAAACTATGATATGGTCTGCTGACCTAGGACGTGACCAAATGACCATTTTCCATTCCTAAGCCCTGGTCATCTTATCAGCTGCCCCCACAGGCACACCCTGATGGGTTGCAACAGACAAGTTCCCTGTGGGCTCGGATGCTGTGTGTCAGGACCTGGATAGTGGAAGAGCAGCAGACTGACTCCTAGCCCAGTGGGAAGGAGACAGAGGTGCATGAATCCTCAAGCCTTTCCACCAGCAGCCAGGTCCCTCTCTTGAAGAAGCCTTTTGGGGAGGTGGGAGATGCAGGGCTGCCCAGTTGGCAGTTGGTTGGGCTGGGTTAGTCCAGGATGCCTTAAGGGCCCTGAGCTTCCTCTCAGTCCTGTTTCCTTAGAAATCTTCCCAGCCAGCAGGCCAGCTGGAACATGTCTGGGACAGCATGGTAAGGAAAGGAGGTAAAGGTTCTGCAGCCATAGGCTACCGTCCCTGGTTGCTTTGGGGTCTGGCCTAGGTCTGTTGGGCTCTTTGGACTTTAGGATCCGGGAGTCTGAGGTCTCTCTGAGCAGACCCAGGGTGCTAAATCATGCCTCCCACACCTTTCCCTGTGGCCAGTGATTGGCCAGTGATCCCTTGGCCCCAGCTCACCAGCTCCCTCCCTTTTCTTTCCTGGGTTCCTCCCTGCCACACCCAAGTGCCCAGAAAACAGCTTGATTCCTACCAGCTGTAGACTGTTTTAGGACCTAGCTATCAGCTAGGGGCCAAGTGACTTCCCCAGCATCTAAAGCAGGGAATATCTTCCATTGAGGTAATGAAGGCAGGGAGACTGTGAGGTAGCTGCCCAGCACTGGATGGTGTCTCAACCAAGGGGAAGGTGTGCCCAGCCCCCTCACAGCAGTGATCGGTGCTACTATAAAGGGGGTGGGGTGCTGGAGCAAGGTTTGAGGTCAAAGGAAAAAGTGTGTGTGAATACCTAGAATGGTAGGGCAGGGCAGGTAGGCCTTTGTAAAGTGAGCATCCCAGGAGAGGACCACAAAATGGTCTGGTCAGGTTTAAGAGATGACCATATGATCATTTTTCCTCCCTGAGCCCAGTTGTCTTCCTGAACACATTCTGGTAGGTTGCAACAGATGAGCTCCCTCTGGAACTGAATTGTAGAGATGGCAGGCAGACTACAGGCTGAGTAGGAATAGAGGCATACCCACTACTGTGTAGGTCAGTGGGTTCCAGGCCAGCTTCCACCTGCCTCAGCTCCTCTCTGGTTCTTCCTTAGAGCTTTCAGAGGCCACCTTCATACTGAGTTGAGAGGAAGCGTGGGAAGGTTGAGTGGGTCTCCTGGCATGGGCTGTGCGACTGTCCATGTGAGGGACTGAGGAAACAGAGGGATGGTTTACCTGGGTCTGTACAAGAGGTACAGACCACGTCCAAAAGAGGTACAGACCACGTCCAAGACCAAATCTATCAGAGCCAGTCTGGGTCTGTTCTGTCTGCATTTGGTTACCAGGTGGCATTTTTGTGTCTGCATCTTGGGTCAAGGTCTGTGTTGGGACACACTGGCCTTAGCCTGGGTCCCACAACCCTGGCATGTTGACCCTACACTGAGTGTCAGTGTTTCCTACACTATGCTGAAACTGACTCCTGCTATCCAGAGCTGCCTTGTAAGATGAGGCAATACAGGTTCCTGATGTTTGGCAGAGTAGGGCAGTGAATGAGAAAGGGCTTCACCAGCAGTGATGCTCTTGAAAAACACCTGGACAAAGACCAGGGCAGAAGGCAGGACAAGTGGGAAAAGCCCCAGAAGACCCAAGATAACTTGGGTCTGGACAGTTCTTTCCTGGGGTTTGGTGGGGTTGCTTGCAGAGCTAGGCTAGACCCTGCCCCAGACTCAAGCTCACTAGCACATTAAGTGGACACAGAAGCCTCAGCAGCTTGTTCTTGTAAAGAGGAACCCCTTCCCCAGAATGTAGCTTGTGTGTGTGGGGGGGGGGGGGGGGGGGGGGGGGCTGTAACAATCCTCTCCCAAACCTGTCTGTTGAAAGACTGAGTGTGGGGGTTGGGAGGAAGAGTGGATCTGGGAGGCGGTGGAGACAAAGACTGGGCAAGTTAGCAGGGGTCTAAAAGCCAGCTTGGCACAGGTGCTGGCAGAGTCCATGTGATATCCCCACTGCCCACTTACCCAGGTCCCATCTGATGCCAAGGCTGAAGGAGTCTCGCTCCCACGAGTCCCTGCTCAGCCCCAGCAGTGCAGTGGAGGCGCTGGACCTCAGCATGGAGGAAGAGGTGGTCATCAAGCCTGTGCACAGCAGCATCCTGGGTCAGGACTACTGCTTTGAGGTAAGTGTCTCTATGGTCTTTTCCCTGGCCAGGCTCATTCTCCAGACTCCTCCTAGAGTGCTCAGTGGCCCTGGCGGGGATAGGCTTTTGGGAACAGTCTGGAATCTACTCATAGCTTTAAGCTCCTGGAGAGACAAGGTAGAGATAGGAATGGGGAGGGTCTTAGTCTGCTGTGTGGCAGCAAGTGAAGCTGTTGGGCCCTCAGATTGGAAGTGAGGTGTTTTGTTTTTTTAATTATTTTGTTTGTTATTTTTATTTTATGTGTATGAGTGTATTGCCTGCATGTACGTGAGTGAACCTGTGTCCTGCAATGCGGCAGAGGTCAGAAGAGGGCTTCGGATTCCCCTGGAGCTAGAGTTAAGGATGGTTCATAGACACCATGTAGGTGCTAGGAATCAAACCCGGGACCTCTGCAAGAGTGGTCAGTGCTCTTAACCGCTGAACCATTTCTCCAGCCCCAGAAGTAAGTTTTTTAAAAAGCCTGTGTAGAATTGCTTAAGCCCCGGAGCCCATGCTCGCAGCCTGCTCACCCATAAGGCAGTGTGGGATTGTGAAGGGATCCCTCCTTTTTAGGCCTGTTTCCCCATCTATGCAGGGAACCCAGACCTTTGCTCTCAGAGTTCTGTAACCCAGAATTTGACAGCAGAGGGTCATAAGCCATTATCTGGCATTACCTGTGCAGTCCCTCTTGGTAGATGAAGTTCTGTGGCCTTAAAAAAAAACATGCCAGAGGTCGTAAACCAGGCTGAGACAAAACAAGGTCTGGGGTTACTGATGCCTCAGGTGTTCCTGATGACTTCTCCAGTTGTTCTTAGTGTCTTGTTACCCCTATTTCTAGGAAGATTCATTCCTCACCTTCACTTCCCCCCAAACAACATGCATTGGGGGGTACCCTCCAGTAGAGGGGTAAGCCTGATAATGACAGGCCATTGGAGTCTAGTATGCTATGTTCCTGGCATCTGCCATACCCAGCGTTCCTGTGTACTTCGGGGATAGACTCCAAGCCAAGTCAGGCTGATTCTGGGTTCGGGCATCCTTGCCTGGGACAGACCAAGAGGGTTAGGACCTGTCCACTTGTTCTTAGCATGGGCTACTGCAGAATGAGCTGACCCACTAGTGCCTGGATGGGGTATGTGCTTTCCCAGTGGAGCCCCTGGCCTGGTGCTAGGGTCAGCCAGGTCATTGGGGGCAATTCTGACCAAGCTCCCTTGCCTAGAGGAAACCTATAGGTTATAACTGGAGAGTGAACAAGACTCATGAAAACAGGAGCGGGGTAAAGGCCTCAGGCTTGGAACACATAGTCAGCTCAGTTCACATTTCTCTAGAAGGGCACATGGTTAGGTTTCTTTGAACATCGTTGTCCCTGTTACTGTGCAAAAGGAGTCTACCAGGAGGGGGCCAGCTGAGGACTGAGCCTGCCCTTGTCTTCTAGAGAACCTGTGGTTCTACCTTTAGGGAGACTATGCTTGAGGCAAGTGTGCACTCTGACTCCAGCTGGGTCTCCCATTCTGTCTCTCCTTCTATCTCAGGGAGAGACAAGTCAGAGTCAGAGAGATGCTTTCCTATTGATGGGAGAGCACTGAGGCAGGGATGAGGAGCCAGGTCCAAAAGCCACATGATGGGCCTGGCCACTTTTCTGCTGCTAATCTGCTAGAGCATAGCAAGGCTCCATGTATTACCTGTGGTTGATGAGATGTCCGGGAATCAGGAGCTCCTTCTTGCCTCCTTCCTGTGGCTTTCCAACCTTGCTGTGGTCCCTTCCCCATTAACACTGTCCTGCTTGCCTCCATAGGTGACAACATCATCAGGAAGCAAGTGCTTTTCCTGCCGGTCCGCAGCTGAGCGAGATAAGTGGATGGAGAACCTGCGGCGAGCAGTGCACCCCAACAAGGTAAAGCCTGCATCTTCTCTCGCTGTATTGTGGGGGATGAGGTGAAAATCGGACATGAGGAAGCATGGACCCAGGTTCGGACAGGGGCAAGTCTGGGAGGAGTTAGAGTTGGCCAGGCTAAAATAACTACTGTGCACCTCTTCCTAGCACTATACACTGAGGAGCCTGGGTCACAGAATTAGGTTTGGGCTATTGAGAAGTCTGGCCCTATGTCCTGTCCAGAACTGCTGCTCCCTAGCCAGCTGTGTCTCATCTTTTCCATTCTAGCTTAGACATCACCCACTTCTCCAGGTGGGTGCCCCTTGCCCAGCTTGGTGTCCTCTTGTGTTTCCACTGTTGTGGACTCTACCATCTGGTTGGAGCCCTGACTGTAATCCTGCTCCTATGTCTGTCTCTCAAGATGACTTGTGGGCCTGGGTCAAGCATGGGCCTGGGTCAAGCAAGTCCTGCCATGATAGGCATCAAGTCACCACGATATCACTAAGGAAGGGATCTTAGCAGTAGTCACCTCTTAAGTTGCTTTACGGACCAAAAAACTGAAACAGTGGCACCATAACCTGTGAGGGGCCACACATTGTGCTAACCTTCTTCCTCAGTCTTTTGCTCTCTGAGGCAGGAGCTATTTTATTCCCGTTTTCTAGGAAAACAAACTCAGGCTAAGTCAAGTGCCTAAGGTCAATGAGTTAGGTAGTGATCAGGGCAGACCAGATGCAGCTATACCCATCAGTCCCCCTCCTGTCTTAGAACCTGAGACACATGCACACACACGCAGCATCACTAGCACCAGCTAGTGATTAGGGCAGACCAGATATAGCCATCCCCATTGGCCCCCCACCTGCCTTGGAACGTGAGCCATACACACACATTCAACATCACCAGCACTGCCCTCAATCCCTCCTGGGTCTCTGAGGACTCCTAGACTCTGGGTTGGCTGAGTGGGCAGTTAGCAGCTCCAGCTGACCACCCCAGGCTCCTTTGCTCATGCAGGACAACAGCCGGCGTGTGGAGCACATTCTGAAGCTGTGGGTGATTGAGGCAAAGGACCTGCCGGCCAAGAAGAAGTATCTGTGTGAGCTGTGCCTGGACGATGTACTGTATGCTCGCACCACGGGCAAACTCAAGACGGACAATGTCTTCTGGGGCGAGCACTTTGAATTCCACAACCTGCCACCTTTGCGCACAGTCACTGTCCACCTGTACCGGGAGACTGACAAGAAGAAGAAGAAGGAACGCAACAGCTACCTGGGCCTAGTGAGCCTGCCCGCTGCCTCAGTGGCTGGCCGGCAGTTCGTGGAGAAGTGGTACCCAGTGGTGACACCTAATCCCAAGGGTGGCAAAGGCCCTGGGCCCATGATCCGCATCAAGGCACGCTACCAGACCGTCACTATCTTGCCCATGGAAATGTACAAGGAATTTGCCGAACACATCACTAACCACTACTTAGGGCTTTGTGCAGCCCTAGAGCCCATCCTCAGTGCCAAGACCAAGGAGGAGATGGCGTCTGCCCTGGTGCACATCCTGCAGAGCACAGGCAAGGTGAAGGTGAGTGTAGCCTACTATTTGCAGGTAAGCCTGGTGACAGGCACTGGGATGCCTGCCCTTTCTGGGTCCATGCTGTATTATCTGCTCCATTGGAGGCCTTGGGGGTATCCATCGCAGCCAGGTAGGGGCCTTTCATACTCCACCAATAGCAGAGTTGAGCCCTAAGACATATGGAGCAGTAGATGGGCCCAGGCTGGTAATGCAGAGTGGGCTTACTTTCGGGTGCCTCCCTTACTGAGCTAGACAAGCAGGTATAACTGGGCTCTTCCAGTACATGAGCCCAATTTCCACTGGCCCCAGCCACCAAAACCCACGTACTTGGTGGGGTATGAGTTGACAGGTATCCCCAGTAGGTAATGTGCCAGGTGAGCCACCTTCACAGCCCCAGCCTCAATGCAACACCCTCAAACACAGATAGATGCTACCAGCACTTCTCAAAGCCTGCCACTCTTGAGGAAGGGTCCAAAAGCACACACCTCAACTCCTAACCACCTGGTTTCAAGGACAGAGGCTCCTAGATTGGAATGTCCCCAAAAGGCACACCATCTCCTACCTGCCCAGCCCCCATGGTAAGGCTCTCCCAGTTCACCATGCATCTTGCATCTTTCCCACAGAGTGTGGGAGAAGATTGAGGTTAAACTGTACTGGCTTTCTGCAGTGTGGATAGACCCCAGATGATAGAGTGATATGCTTCAGAACTAGTGACTTGTATGAGGGTAGGGCACATCTTAAGCCCTCAGCTTGGGGTCGGGGAGACCCAAGAAGGGAATCAGACTTAGTTCCCCCATGGGCAGAGCTCAGTGGTACAGGACTCCATGAGGCCCTTGGTCCTCTTACTTCTAAAGGCCCTGGCAGAGGGAGACTGTGGCTGGAAGCCCCTTGGTCTCTACAGCCTTCACTGCCTACTAGGCTGGCACTATGAAGGAAGGGCAGCCCTTGCGGGAAAGAAGAGCTTCCCACCATGGAGTCATGGGGAAAGTGCTGCCTGCCTCCATGTTGTCAGACTCCTTCCTCCCCTTCAGGCTGGCTAGGTAAAGCTGCCAGATGAACCAGCTCTTTTTGTTGTTGATTTCTCTGGTGTATTTCATACAGAACATCCCAAACAATCTTACTCATCTGTATACCCACATCTCAAATGGCACTCTCCCATAGCCTCCCCCACCCCCCGGGGGGGCGTCCATATACTCTGTCATCCCTGTTTACTGTCCACTGTGTTGTCGGTGCCCCCAGGCATTCCCCAGTGCTTGTCCATCCACTGAATCTAGTCAGCCTATTTAGAGTTCCTTGTTTTAGAAAGATCAGCTTTTCCTCATCTAGCAGCAATCAGTTGCCAATATTCCTTTAGATAACATTGGGGTCTGCTGTTCATTTTCGCAGTTCTATGCTGGGTTACTGGCTGGGTTACTGTCTGGGAGTCTCTTGGGCCCCCCTGGCCAGTAACTCAAAGGAAGGTATCCTGTCTGGCATTGTTTCTTGTTATGTAGCCTTTAGCTATACAGATGGACTCTTAAAGAATTATACTAATCACTTTAATCTTTGGTTATACTTTCCTTTTGGGTATTTAAGACCATACAGTTGGCCCAGATAACCCAAGTTATTTCTACTCTTATGGTCACTTGAGGATGGTCACATGGGCTTGGGAAGAGCCCCTGGCGCCTTTCTTTTACCAGCTCCATCTATGTGAAGCTAAGTCAAAGGCAGATGGTCTAACTCTAACAGCACCTCTTTGATTTGCTGGTCAATGGTGAACTGGAGATGCTGGGAAACTGAATTGCAGAAGTTATAGACCAGAAAGGGCAAGTAGGAGGCCCAAGCTTTCCCTTCTACTGAATTGACCTTCTAGTCCTTGGTCCAAGGACTGCAATGGCTCAGAAAGTAGAGGCTGTATGAAGTGGTCAAGAAGAATGCTGAGGAGCCACTATGGAGGACAGTGGAAGCCAGGGCTCCTGGCAGTCCTAAACAGGGTAGAGAGGCAATGGATAGAGATAAAAATTGGTGCTGCTGGGTTGGTATGTTCTCTGGAACAATTTAGAATGGGCCAGGCATTCTTGAGCCAGGCAGAAAACATGATGAAGGTTGCTTATACAATGAGATAGGCTACCTGTCCCCCCAAGGTGATAACTCTGTTTCCTTTGTACCCTGGTGAGGGAAGGATCCCAAACAGGTGTCCCTGCATCCGCTGCACTCTCCCCAGATTGTTTCCCTAAGCTGTATGCCTTCAGAGTTTCCGTCTCAGAATCCTGCCTCTACCCTTCTCTCTATATGATCTTAGAGAAATAATGGGATCTGGGAAGGAAGATCTGGCCCCAGGTAGCTTTATGGGCTTGGATAATTTTTTTTCCTGCTCTGTGCCTTGCTTTCCCCCTTCCTGTGGTCCAGCTAGTAGGAGTCACATCTGATCCCAGCTGCCTGGCACCTGGCACCAGAATTCAAAGAGGCTATGTAGGGCCTTGAGCAGGAGCCATGGTGGCATTCTAGGGGAACTGCTCATTGTATTTCCAGGATGTGACCCTGTGACCCCAGAGGTCACCTGAAAATCAGAAAGGTGTGATTTGAGGGAGGCCAACTGCCATTTCTCCTTGGCCCTTCCTGTCTCTCAGTCCTTCCTTTCATTGGCCAGCCTGGCCTTTTATGTCAGGGTCTCCGTTCTGTTTGCACATTGGAGTGAAGGATTTCTAGAGCCCCCAAACCTGACCCTTGCTGGGCCTCTTGCAGGTTCTGTGCTGCCCTCTCCCCAACTGTTCCCACTGAGTTTGCCTGCAGTGCCTCCTCTTCCTTGACCCCTAGTAACAGGTTGACTATGGGCTTGAGAGCAGGGTCTCCAGAGGAAAGAACTGTTACCCAGTTGGGTACCGGGAGGGGAAAGCACACAATGTGATTGAGCTCCTCTGCCAGGGTCTTCCCATGACACTGTGGGACCAACTGGGCAAACTGTCCTCCAAGGCAATCTGGGACATACAGCAGCCAGGGATAGTGATGGTTTTGTCACAAGGTCAGCTCAGGTTCTACCCTGCTCACCACTTGCCTCCCTAGGACTTTCTGACAGACCTGATGATGTCGGAGGTGGACCGCTGCGGGGACAATGAGCACCTCATCTTCCGAGAGAACACACTGGCCACCAAGGCCATTGAGGAGTACCTCAAGCTAGTGGGCCAGAAGTACCTGCAGGACGCACTAGGTAGTTGGGTTCAACTGGGCCAACCAGTGGGCAAGGGCTGGCCAGTGGTCCTCAGGCCCTCACTGCCTCCTCTCTGCTCACCTGGCCACAGGTGAGTTCATCAAAGCTCTATATGAGTCAGATGAGAACTGCGAAGTGGACCCAAGCAAGTGCTCGGCCTCTGACCTCCCTGAGCACCAGGGCAACCTCAAGATGTGCTGCGAGCTGGCCTTCTGCAAGATCATCAACTCCTACTGGTCAGTGCTGTCTCTGAACTGTTGGGAGCCATGTGCTCGTTTTGGGCCTGTGCCTTTCTAGCTTCTCGTCTCACCTGTCTTTTCTTCTGTCAGATGCCCCCAGTGTGCCAGGCACAAGAATCAGAATCTGCTGAGTACCTGGCTCTATTGAGTTACTGGATTGCCAGCTTCCTGTTTTTGAGCTCTTAAATCTAAGAAAGTATTCTAAAATATTTGTAAGATATGTTTTTGTTTCTGGGTGGTTTTAGTGTTATTGTAGAAGGAACCTGGAAAGGGCAATTTGCACCTATGTCTAGTGACATGTAGAGGCTGGTGTCAGTGCCCTGGTGCAGCATGGAGGACTGATGGGAGCCCTGTCCACGTACCTACTCCTGATGCTCCTTACCTGTCTGTCCCCACAGGTTATCATTCTCTGACTTTGAACAGGGGCATGTGTGGATGCCTAAGTACCAGCTAGGCCCCCTGCTTAGACTAGGGCGCAAAGAAGAAAGCATCGACAATAGGAGTGGACTGCTCCTATAGGACCACAGTCAGGGCTGGGCTCAGTGCCTGGGAGACTTCTTGTAAAGCCAGTTTCCTAGACACCTGCTTGTTCTTGGGTTGCATGTATGATGGCTGGCTGACCTGGTGCTGATGACAGCCTGGTTGTGGTTAGGGTACATGGATCTGTCCCAGTAGACCTTGCTGCCAACCCAAATGGGTTTGTTTTCACACTGGAGGAGCTACTCAATCTGTAGCCTGCTATATCATGGCCTTAACTCAGGGCTGGTATCCATCCTGCCCAAGCCACTCCATGGCTGTCTCTCCTACCTTTGTTTCTTGCCCTCATGCTACCACCTCCTTTGGCCTACACAGTCCTGCCCTAACTCTGTGGCCCTTTCTGTCACTTCTGGGTCTCTACCCCTGCAGCCATGATCTATTGGAGTGGGATTATCTGTGTCAGAATGTGTTTCCTCTACATGCTGGGAACCCTCTGGGGCATTTTGGTACATCAGCTCAGGACTAAGCATTGGAGTGTTTGCTACTCCCAAAGAACAGGCAAGGGTAGGCCTACTAGGTGAACAGTGGCCTTGAGAAGAGGGTAAGTACCCACCTGCCAGGCCCCTCAGCCTATATTGTACAAGGTGCTCACCTGAAGGAAGTGGCTAACCAGAGAGCCTTGATACCCTGGGAAGACACTGCCCATCCCCCTACTTGGCTGGGCTCTCAGCCTCTGTCCTCCATTCCAGGGCAGCTGGGTGTGGGACTCAGGGGAAACATGGTATGCGTAGGAATTTCCATTTCCCCTTAATGGCATCTAGCAGAGGCTCCTCTCTTTTGGAAAATGCCATTGGTAGATATCAGCTAGCTCAGGCGGCTCTGAGAGCCTGACAAAACAGGCCTTCTTTCAGTTTAAAGGAGTTGAGACTAAAGCCCAGGAAGGGCCAGGGTCTTGGCCAGTTACCCCTGAGCTCAGGACAGAGCCAGCCGTGGGTCCAGAAAACACTGGGGTCTGGTCTGCCCCATAGTGAAACCGTAGGAAAATCACTTAAAGACTTAAGGTCAGGAGGCTCAGTGGAGCCAAGAATTTTTTTTTTTTTTTCTGAGACGGTCTCCCTGAGGACCCAGCTGGCCTGTAACTCACTATGTAGCCCAGGCGGGCCTCAAAGTCACAGAGATCCGCCTGCCTCTGCCTCCCAAGTGCTGGGATTAAAAGCATGCGCCACCACACTTAACTGTTCTAGTGCCACCTTATTGTGTCACCCCAGGCAAGCTCTGCCTCTACTGCTCTCCCCTTCTAGAGTATGAGAGGCTGTGCTCTCATTCTGGCTAAGGGATACTCTACCTGCTCCGTCACTCTGAGCTCTACAAAAAACAGCCTAGATTCCTATGACATCATTCAGGCAGAAGGAATGAGTCTGGGAAGCCAGGAATGGGAACCCAAAAAACAGCAATCTATCTGCCCTCTCGTTTTCTTTTTTCACACCCGTAGACCCACATGCCTGCTGTTGGAGTGGAAAGATGTTTCCCTGAGGGAGGTAAACAGATCCCGTGAGCACAGAGCCAGCTCCACCAGCCTGGTTCCTTAACCCACTTGGACTCTTCACTGAGAGCCCACCCTGGCTAGAATTGGTTCTCCTGCTTAAGGATAAGCTGCCCTGAGCTGGCCCCCTCCCCGCACTGTCTTAGCTTATCCAACAGCCCTACCCAGCAGATCACCCTGCCTAATGGATGGTCATCTGGCTGGGATGCAGAGCAGGACAGAGACAGGGTCAGAACTCAGGGTTCCATGTGACTCAGAACTAGATCTGGCCCAGTGCTATCCTGTCCTGGGCTCCTGCCTGACCCCTAGGCCCACCTTTGTCTGCCCCCACTCAGTGTCTTCCCACGGGAGCTTAAAGAAGTGTTCGCCTCGTGGCGACAGGAGTGCAGCAGCCGCGGCCGGCCAGACATCAGCGAACGGCTCATCAGTGCCTCACTCTTCCTGCGTTTCCTCTGCCCTGCCATCATGTCACCCTCACTCTTCAACCTGCTGCAGGAGTACCCTGACGACCGTACAGCTCGCACCCTCACCCTCATTGCCAAGGTCACCCAGAATCTGGCCAACTTTGCCAAGTAAGTGGTGTGGGCTCTGACAGGCACTGACCCGTGATGTTGGAGTCCACAGGGACAGGCCCCTGGGGTGCTTCTGCCTCTGAGCTAGGCTACTACAAGAGGCCTTGCTTTGTGTCCCTGTTGTTCTCCGTCCCCACCCCCACTTCAAAATAAAGCCTCCTCCATACCTATCCTAGTAAAGGACAAGCCGTTTTGTATGTTCCCTTGAATTTCAGAGGTGAGAAGATGAGATTTTTTTTTCTCCTTTTTTGAATTAACATATTATCATAACATGCCATAAAGGTTCTCCTATGTCTTTTATCTCCAGGCTCTGCTTTGAAATGAATGGCTAATATTCCACAAACGCTTAACTGCCCTGTGGGGCTGGGTACTCAGGCTGTTTCAGTCTGGGTTAATACTGCCAGAATGTCTGCTGGTAGAACACTCCTGGGCTTTTCAAGTGCATTCTTAGAGCATGTGGGTGGAAGTGGCAGAGCTGGGTCATCTTGTTGTCATTCATTCACAGTTGTGGCTTGAGCACTGTTCCAGGGCTGTCTGTGTGCTATGCTGCAACTGTAGAGAGATGAGCCAGCCGTGGTCCCATGCCTTAAGAGCTTAGCACATCCACCAGGGAGACATGTTCAGTAGACAAGAGTGGGGACCAAGGCACACACCAGAGTCTCAGGAGAGCCCAAGGTTTGTGGGAGAGAAGACAGGGAGGCCGGTCATTCAGCTCAAGCAAAGGCAGCAGGAGCAGAGGCTGGCATGCTGGCAAGGGTGTGGCACCAAATAGATCTAGAATATCAAGTATGAGGCCAGGAGAGGCAGAAGACAAGGCTCATGAGGGCTGTGGGGACCTGAAGGCCACACGGGGCAGAGGAAGGCACTGGCTTGGGTTGCTCCAGCAGAGACTTGGGTCCACTGTGGATCTGAAAATCAGCTGTGTACTAGGCTTTCAAACTTGGAGTTAAAGGAATGGGACCAGAACAGATAGTGTGGTAGAACACAGAACATTCTAGGCCCTGTGATTTAAGGTCCCAGAAAGGGTAGCATGGTTTTGGCTTGGAAAGAAGGTCCTGGTGACTGGGTCCCAACAGATTCAGTTGCTCTCAAGTCTCCAGTGGCAGCTGGCTATAGTAAGGGGGAGGGTGAGCGCCAACTCAGATATGGGGCACTTATCTTGGCTGTCCTCTGTCCAGGTTTGGCAGCAAGGAGGAATACATGTCATTCATGAACCAGTTCCTGGAGCACGAGTGGACCAACATGCAGCGCTTCCTGTTGGAGATCTCCAACCCTGAAACCCTTTCCAACACAGCTGGCTTTGAGGGCTACATAGACCTGGGCCGAGAACTCTCCAGCCTGCATTCACTGCTCTGGGAGGCTGTCAGCCAGCTGGAGCAGGTGCCTATTGCCTGGGTTGAAGGGCAGGGCCAATGTTACTCACAGTTCTTGGGGCTCTTCCAGAGCAGCCACTAGGTTGGAGAGTTCACTTGCATGACATAGATTACCTGACAAGGGGCCCACCACCCAGGGTTATAGCTCAGGCTCTGTGGAACACTCCATACTAGGAATCTCTGGGTTCTGTTGTCTTTGTGGATGAGTGCAGAGCCACTTGCTCTGGGTACTGGGCCCAGGCCTCTTGAGGCTGAGTTCTGCACGTGAATGTACTTCTTACCCAACTGGTTTGAGAAATGGAATCTAGCTTCAATACTTTACTGAAAATGTCCTTGCTCTGAGGACCCTGTACCTTCATATGTCAGGAAGCTGGAAACCTCTCTAAAACCAGGGCTTATGGCTTAGTGGTAGAATGCTTGTCTAGTGTGCACAAAACCCTAGGTTTGATCCCCAACACTAGGAAGAAAAAAATTTTCCAGAATTGCTTTTGGCTCTCAACTGAAGAGATTGTTTCTTGCATACCTAACATTGTTTCAGTTACCTGGACTGTACATTCAATCCCCTCCCAAGACTTGGGTACCATTGGCTCCAACCCACACACTGAACCTGCCAGGAACCACTTTTTACCAGGATTCCAGGGGGTTACTTTATAAAAGTAAACACTGCTGACCCTGGACTGGAAGTCTACCTGTGTCTGGTCCCATACCTAGAGGTGACCACTGAATGCTTTGCCAAGCAGGCTTCTAGACTCGCATGCGGGCCTTCCTTTTCCTTTTGAAGTTGGTTTTCAAGTGAGATCTTAACTGTATACTGCCATTTGTGCCCCTGGTCCACTTTACAGGCATCTTTCCACATCAGTCTGTCCAGCATACCTCTGTGGCCTTTTTATCCACAGCAGGATATTCTTGTCACAAGAACAATTTACCAGTCCCCTAGTGGACTTCTCGGTAACCTCCTAGCTTTTCACTAATGCTGCTGCTGTTGAAATTGCAGACGGTTTTGCTCACTGACGGTTTTGCTCACTGACTGGGAAAGACCGAAGAGGTAGAGATGGAAAGGAAGACCCTCCTTTCCTCCAGTCCTGAGCCCTGTGCAGACTATACCAGCCATTCACTGCCACCACTTACTGAGCCCTTGGGCTGGTCACTGTACCGTGGACCTCAGAGCCAGGCAGGAAGTGCACAGGTGATAGTGTGTGACAAATATTTGAACTGGAGCTATTTGCCTCCACAAGTCTGAAGACTTTTACACTTTTACAGTCTCACAAGACTGAAGGTTTTTACACTTTTCCTTCATGCATTCATGCATAGATTTCCATTGCAGAAGTATTATCTACCTCCCTAGCTCAACCTAGTCTAGAATCTTCTGTGTCACATGTAAGCCATGACAGTTAGGTTCAGAAGAGCCTAAGTACCACCCTTTCTCTGGCCAACACCCCAGGGTACTTGGTGTCTGGCTTATTTCCACAGGCTCAGGTATCAGAAGGGGTCAGGTCCAGCCCTCTTCATAGAGTAGATAGTGGGAGGGGGATACCACAGATGCCTTTTGCTTGGAGTGTGGGATAGAGGCACTGGAAATGCTAGAATGTCTGCAGGGACACCAGGCCGGTGTGCCTTGCCCACCTGCCCCAGCAGCATTTGGAGCTGTATGTAACAAGGTGTAGAGAGCAACATCTCAGATTTGTGTCTGACTGGTGGTGGCCATGGCAGCCAGGGCTCTGCATTTCTCAAGAGCTCCTTGGTGACTTTGAACTCCAGTGAATGAGTCTTGCAGCATTCAGCCTCCCCCAGTGGCTCCCGTCACACCTGCCTTTTTCCATTTTTGCAGAGCATTGTGTCCAAACTAGGACCCTTGCCTCGGATCCTGAGAGATGTCCACACTGCCCTGAGCACCCCAGGCAGTGGACAACTCCCTGGGGCCAATGACCTGGCCTCCACACCAGGCTCAGGTAGCAGCAGCATCTCAGCTGGGCTACAGAAGATGGTGATTGAGAATGATCTCTCTGGGTAAGTGCTGCCAGGTGTGCTGGGTGTGGAGGGCATGCATGAGGCTAGGTGCAGCTCTTCTGTGGAATCAGATGAGGGAAAGGACGCCTTCTGATATTCATGAAACAAGCCTGGTGAGACCTAAATGTGTGGGCCAGGCCCTAAGGGGTGGACTTCCAGTTGGGATAAATCAGAGAATGCTTTTTGGAGGAGGAGGGTTGGTAGCTTTTATACCTTTTCGGGAAAATGGCATTTGACTTCTGGAGAAAACTTTTGTGGGTTCAAGGTCAAGCCCAAGCAAAGAGCTGAGAAAGAACCCATGTTTGGGAATGACCGCTGATTCCCAAATCCCTCAAGCATTTCCAGATGGCCTGTAAAGATACCCATTCTGGTATTTCCAGGGCTTTAGAAGATTAGCAACTACAGGCTTTGAGACACTCAGTCCTAGCTTCATTGAGCCCTGAGTCCCAGATGTAGCCACTCTGAACCTTAAACAGTGGAGTGAGAGGCAGATGCCTCTGAAAGTTTAAGGCAGAGGGAACCATTTTGTTAAGCTTGTAGTTTGTGTAAAACTGTATGCTTTACTCCTCCCTATGCCATTTCCTGCTGGAGGTCTCTCTTATACTAGTTCATGTGGATGAGGCTAGAGCCACAGAGTAGGGAGTGGGTCTTACTCCAGGGTGTCAGTAGCAGCCTCAGCTTTGGCACAGATAAGGGCAGTGAGAGCCAGATCTGGTGGGTGGTTATGCAGAGGATGCTGAGGTGCTAGCCCCCAAGCTCCTCAATGTTGTCTTGGAGCTCTTTAACCTGCCAAGTGAGGCAAGAAAGTCTCAAGGCTACAGTTCAGGTGAGAATACACCCAAGAGGCTGCAAGGTGGCCTGGCATGTGGGTGCCAAGGAGACCTGATCCAGGCCGGCCGCCCAGGCACCTAACCTCTCTTGCTTGGTGTGCTGCTGTGTCTAGCCCTTCCCTGCCCATGAGTGCTGTGGCCCTAAGTGGCTATGCCGTCTTGGCGTCTGTCCATCTGTGGTTCAGCTAAGTCTGCCCACATCAAACTCGCCATGTTTCTGCTGCTGCTCACCCACTCAGAACATTCTTCCCTAAATAATCCCCCCTCCCCCAACCTCTCTACAGTTGTGCTTGGCCTCTGGGAAAGGTCCAGGGTTAGACTGCAGCCAGGGCCTTGGTAGACTGAGGGACACTGGCTTGCTGCATGGTTCAGAACTGCCTGCCTGCTTCATGCCCTTGACAACTCTGATTCCCTGTTTTTGCCAGGAATGTCAGCCCCCGCCTGCCACTCAATCAGAATGGCAGCAGGAGGCAGGGCAGGGAGGTTTTGCCAGGCCCCCGCTAGGGTTATTAGATTAAGGAAAAAGAGGAAAGAGATAGAGGAAGCCCCAGTGACTTTGAAATTGGAGTTTGCGATTCAGGACCCATGGGTAACAGAGCTTCCAAGCCATGGACTTGAGTTGAGCTATGGGAGTTTCTAGAACATGCCACACTCCAGCATTCGTTGTCCCAAGATGCACTTGAGCAGGCAGAGGGCCTGCCTGGCAGCCCAGCCTGAACGAGGTAGAGGTTCTGTGTAGGAACAGCCACCTCACTACGGACCCTTCTGCCATCCAGCCTTCTCGCAACCCTGGCTCAAGGTGCCAGGCCCCAGCAGGTGGTGGTGCTATTGTTTCAGACCCACGTGGCTGGACTCACAGTTCTTCTTTCCCCTTCTTTCCCTGTGTGTGCTTGTCTCCCTGCAGTCTGATAGATTTCACCCGGTTACCGTCTCCAACCCCCGAAAACAAGGACTTGTTTTTTGTCACAAGGTCCTCCGGGGTCCAGCCCTCACCTGCCCGCAGCTCAAGCTACTCAGAAGCCAACGAACCTGATCTGCAGATGGCCAACGGCGGCAAGAGCCTGTCTATGGTGGACCTCCAGGATGCTCGCACGCTGGATGGGGAGGCGGGCTCCCCAGCAGGCCCCGATGCCCTCCCTACTGATGGGCAGATACCTGCAACTCAGCTGGTGGCTGGATGGCCAGCCCGGGCAGCCCCAGTGAGCCTGGCAGGGCTAGCCACAGTGCGGCGGGCAGGCCAGACACCAACCACACCAGGCACCTCTGAGGGTGCACCAGGCCGGCCCCAGTTGTTGGCCCCACTCTCCTTCCAGAACCCTGTGTACCAGATGGCAGCTGGACTGCCGCTGTCACCCCGCGGCCTCGGAGACTCAGGCTCTGAGGGCCACAGCTCCCTGAGCTCCCACAGCAACAGCGAAGAGCTAGCAGCTGCTGCCAAACTGGGAAGTTTCAGTGCTACTGCAGAGGAGCTGGCGAGGCGACCTGGTGAGCTGGCACGGCGGCAGATGTCACTGACTGAGAAGGGTGGCCAACCCACAGTGCCAAGACAGAACAGCGCTGGTCCCCAGCGGAGGATTGACCAGCCGCCACCCCCACCACCGCCACCACCTCCTGCTCCCCGGGGCAGGACACCTCCTACCTTGCTGAGCACCCTCCAGTACCCACGACCCTCAAGTGGAACCCTGGCGTCAGCATCACCGGACTGGCCTGGCCCTGGCGCCCGGCTGCGACAGCAGTCCTCCTCTTCTAAAGGAGACAGCCCAGAGCTGAAGCCCCGCGCCATTCACAAGCAGGTCAGCACTATGGGCAGGGGAGGGCGGGGCTCTTGGTCAGTGAGGAGTCACATCCCATGTCATGCTTCTCCTTGGTCATTTCACCTCACTTGCACCCCAGCTGCCATCCCATGCTGAGTGGGGCTCAGTCTGGCCCCATACACTGGCCCACCACATGCACTCCCCCTTCTTCTGGGAACCAGGGCCTCCGAGGCCTTAAGGAATGCCCAGGTCCTCTACCAGTTCCCCAAGGACAGGCTGGGCCAGGAAGCAAGGAGGGGTCCTGTCCATCTTCAGTCCATGCCTGTTACAAAGTAGCACAGATCCCAAACCCATTTGTCCTGCTCTGGTCCCCATACTTTCTGAAGCGCTCACATAAGCCGAACCTGCCCCTGGGTCTAACTATCAGGAGAGTGAACCATCCCTGCCACCCAAAGGCTTCAGCAAGATATGGGTGAATGTACAATAGGTTGGGTACCTCTTAGCCAGGCCCACCTCAGCACCTCAGTGGTGCTCAGGCTGTCTGGGAGGCAGGAGTTCTTAAGGAGGCACTCAAGCAGCTAGCAGTCCCCTCCCTTCCACCTGTGTCTCCCTCTGCCTCCCCACAGCCCCTCACAGCTGTGTTTCATTGTAGGGCCCTTCACCCGTGAGCCCCAATGCCCTGGACCGCACGGCCGCTTGGCTCTTGACCATGAATGCACAGTTGTTAGAAGACGAGGGCCTGGGCCCAGATCCCCCCCACAGGGATAGGCTAAGGAGTAAGGAGGAGCTCAGCCAAGCAGAAAAGGTAAAGCTGCGCCTGGGCAGGGTGGGCAGGGTGGGCTGCTTCCACCAGTGCTGGTGGGAGTCTCTCCCAAGAACCTTTGGTGAGGTGGCACTGCATGATCCTGTGATGACCAGTCCTCTCCCACCCCTGCCCCATGTGAAGACAGCAGTCAGTAAAATCTGGAAGGAAAGCAGCAAGGAGGACTTGACTTAGACCCAAGGTTTCCAGTACAGGCTGCACAGCAGTCACCTGAAAAGGGCTTGCATGTAGACTCCTGGGACAGGGTTGGAAGTGTAGGAGGGTCCCTTGCTGCCAGCTTGTGAGGCTCTGAGGCTTAAAGACTAGGTGTCAGAAAAGCCCCTAGAGACTCAGAAATGAGCCCGGGGCAGGGGTCCTGTGACTCCTGGGAGAACACCCACCCAAGCCTCAGGGCTTAGGGAGGGAACAGCAACTCACCAGGATGAGGGATGAGGCCACATGGCCCATTTCTTTCCTCTCAGGGGAAAAATGGACTCTAAAAGCTCACGGAAAAAAAACTCTAGATCTCACCCATCTAGCACTGCTGGGGCTGGCAGTAGGGTGCTTGGACTGCCCTCCAAAATCTTCAGTTGTCACGGTAGCTGCCCTGGATCCATGCTTTTCCTTGGAAGTCAAAGCCCAGGTAGATGGAGGAGCCAGAGTAAGACCCTTCCCTCCCCTCAAGGAAAGCAGCCACCTCCTCCCTTGTTAGTGAGTGCCCCTACCCCAAGGATCCGAAGAGGGCCTATTACAGCCTCCTGAGCAGGGCCCCCAGGGTCAGGGTGGCAACACTTCCTGTCTCCCACCTCAGGGGAGTCCATCTCCATGCTGCATTTGCTGCCTGCCACCACCCTTGGTCCACTGCATTCACCTGCTTTCCCCCAGTCTGTGAACGGAACCTGGGGACCTGGTGCCTGGTGTGCCCAGAGCCAGGGTTAGGAGGAAAGTGAGGAGGCCTGGCTTCACCCCAGGCTCCCTGCCTACCTCACCGTCTGGGTCTCTTGCTCTGTTATGAGGCCCCTCTCTGTACAGAGACCTTGGGTGCCTCTTGCAACACCTGCAACTTTCCAACAGGCTCACACTTTTCTCCCCAGAAGCTGAGCTCAGTCACACTGGGGAGCCGAGCCACCTTGTTTTGCTTCCCTCTTACCATCTCATTTCCCTACTGCCACCTCGTTCCTGTGCTCTTCTGGTCAGGTAGAGGCTGGGGGGCTACAGTTTAACTTTGTTAGTTGGTTGCTCCCCATGGGACTTGTCACCACCCCTAAGCCTCACGGCCCTTCCTGTGGGGCCACCTCCCTCTCGGGTCTTGAGTCTTCACCCTCTGCCTGACTCAGACTACACAGGTCAGGCTGGGAAGGGAGTAGAGCGACCTCTGGGAGCCACAGGCTCGAGTCTCATCACAGCTGCTGGGCCATACCCCTTTGGGCTCATTTCTGCCCTGCACTCTGCTCTGGCTGATGTGGCTGTGCTCTCTGTCCTGGGTGCTGTGCCCATGGCACGCTGCCCCCTGGCAGGACCTTGCAGTGCTGCAAGACAAGCTGCGAATCTCCACCAAGAAGCTGGAGGAATATGAGACCCTGTTCAAGTGCCAGGAAGAGACAACACAGAAGCTGGTGCTGGAGTACCAGGCACGGCTGGAGGAGGGTGAGGAGCGGCTGCGGCGGCAGCAGGAGGACAAGGACATCCAGATGAAGGGCATCATTAGCAGGTGAGGCCTATCTGCCCACTGGTCTCAACAGGTCACAGGCCTGTGGCAAGCTTTAGCCTGGCCTATGGGAGTTGCTTCTCCACTGAGGAAGAAGCAGAGGGAAGGCAGTGTGCTTAGTGACAGGACAGCGGGAGCACAGGGAAGGGGGTGAAGCTCTACCAGCCAGTGCCAGCCCCTAGAAGTTGGATTGTCTTGGCAAGCTCTTAGAGGATTAGAAAGCTGGATTTGAGTTGCTAGGCAGGACAGTGAGGACCCATTGCGGGGAAAGGAAGTAGGTGAAGTGGGGAGGACGACAGAGCATCTGGGTGTGCGTGTGTCAGGGTGCCAGCTGTGGATAGAGGACAGTTTGGGTGGGGAAGGGAGAGGGTGGCCATGCCAGCTTAGATCTGTTGTTTCCAGTGTCTGAGTTATCTGAGGAGGGTTCTGAGGTCAGTGGAAGCTCTAACTCTGACTAGGGATAGCATGGGTATGCCGTCCCTGGTGTCTGCCAATAGCCAGTACAGTCCAAGTGCAGCGTCCAGGCCACCTACCAAGTCCCAGTCCTTGGAGCTTCCTCACTGCAGTAACATCAGGTGTAAGGAGAGAGGTGTGGGTTTTAGAGCTTGTTTGCCTTGCCTAAGGCCCCTCACCTGGACAGACTGAGCAGGTATGAGGTAGATAAAATACTTCCTCTTTTGTTTACAGCACAAACCCTTCCCAAATCCCTCTTGCTTAAACCACCTGTTCCCTCCCCTGTTGTTTTCTGTATTATAAATGATTAGCAGAGCACAACCCAGGGGACTGGACACCTGCTGTCCCCCGACCTCCTGCTCTGCTCTTGGCACCTGTGTGCATGTTTCTGCTTCCTTTTCCTGTGTCCATTCTCTCAGGTACATACTCTCCTGAATCCATGGCTTCCTTGACACATTTATTTCTGCTGGCCAGTCCTGGTATATTTTCTCATGAGTGTAGATGTCATTACGAGAGTGGTTTAGTACTTGCTCAGGTCTTCATATCCTTATGCTCTTTTGCCTGCTTGCATCATTCTCACTTGTTGAGAAAGGGATAGCTCAGGCATCTAATCCTGATTGTAGATTTTTCTATCATATCTACACACTCAACCCTTTTGTGCAGTCCACTTGTCCTTCTATAACAAAATACCTTAACTGAATTATAAACTTGCGTACAATTGTGAAGGCTGCAGTGTCCAAGACCAAGATGCCAGCAGATTTAGCATAGCTCCTTCAGAGGGCAGAAGTGGTAGACAAACTCCCTCCGGCTTTTATAAGGGCACTAACCCTATTCATGAGGACAAAGGCCTCAGGACCTGACCACTCCCCAGAGGGCACCACCTCTTCATAATACCACTTTGGGGGTTAGGGTTCAGCTGCACTGTGGATGTGGACACCAACATTCAGACCATAGCACCCATCACCTTATTGTGGTCTACTTTTATCTAAAAATGTCTGTTTTAGATGGAGTGTTTAAGCCATTTACATTTAATGCAATCAGTGTGATTTTTTTTTTCTTCTTAATGAGTATTGCTTGCATGTATGTGAGTACACCCATGTCATGCAATGGCACGGAGGTCAGAAGGGGGCTTCGGATTCCCCTGGAACTAGAGTTAAGGACAGTTCGTAGCCACCATGTGGGTGCTGGGAATCGAGATTTTTTTAAAAATTATTTTTATTTTATGTGTATGAGTATATTTGCCTGCATGTATGTGAGTGCACCTGTGTCATGCAATGGCACGGAGGTCAGAAGGGGGCTTCGGATTCCCCTGGAACTAGAGTTAAGGACAGTTCGTAGCCACCATGTGGGTGCTGGGAATCGACTGCAAGAGCAGTCAGTGCTCTTAACCACTGAGCCATCTCTCCAGCCTCCAGTGTGATTATTTTTAAACCTAGTATCCTATTTGTTACTTTGATTCCATTCTCCTTTTGGTTTCTTAGCCATCTCTCTCTCTGCTACTTTGGGGTCCGGGTCGGCAAGTTTTCCATAAAGGGCAGATAAGTGTCAGACTTTGTGGCCCAAAGGGTCTTACTACCCTTTTTCAGCTGGTGTTCTATCAGCACTGTGTGATATGTTTACAGAAAGGGACAGTGGTTAGACTTGACCTCCACCCCTAGGCTGCCCTGTTTTTTGTTTCTCTGTACTTATGCCTTTTCTCTACTTGGTTTTTTCAGGCTAATGGTATAATTAAGTGCTTATCTGGGATGCTGAGACCCTTGATTTTATTTCCAACACAAGATTTTTAAACGTTACTGTGTGTGTGTGTGTCTATATAGGCTTTTCGGAGTCAGCTCTCTTCCACCATGGGTTGTGGGAATTGAACTCAGGTTGTCAGGCTTGTGTGGCAAGTTCTTTTACTTGCTGGCCTGCCTGCCAGTGTTTTATTACCCACTGTCAACATCTTTACAGTCTGATTTTAACATACCTGGTGTGCTTTTGTTTCTTGGGTATGTTTTTCTTGGATTTTAGGTACTAGCCCTGCTTCCCCTTTCTGTGACTCCTATCACACGCCTTCACATGTACTGTGGGCCGCTCTGTACTGGTTCCCAGCTGATTCTTAGTTTTCTTTCTCCCGTGTTTTGAGATATATTTTTGTATTACTTGGGGGGGGGATTGAACCAAAGCCTTATACAAGCTAGATAAGTTCTCTGCCACTGTTGTACCCTGACCTTTTATTAAATTGAATTTTTTGTGAAGTTCATACATTGTGATCATATTTAGACCTCCTTCCCTATGGATACCCCTTGTGTAGCCCCTCCTTTGTACTTTGAGACAGGGCCTATTCTATTGCTTGAGCTGTCCTTGGGTAGGTCTTGAACTTAGGGTCCTCCTGCTTCTGTCTGCCTAGTAGCTGGGCTTGCAGCCTGCACCGTGAGCCTGGTTAGACGCTCTTTATGCTGTCTGGGATTTCTGTTGTCCTCTTTAGTGTCTGCTGTTAATCGTTTTTACTTCAGATACTTATTTTTCACCTCTAGAGTTTTATTTGGTTGAAGTTTTTTTTTTCCTCATACTGAAAATTTAAGAGGCATGTAGAATGTCTATGTAATAGCTATTTTAATGTCATTACCTACTAATTCTATCATCTGACATGAGTCTTTTTCCTTAATTTTTCTCCTGATTATAGGTTTTATTTCCCTGTATCTGTGTCCTTGGCAGTTTTGGTTGGATGCCAGGCATTGTGAATTTTACACAGAAAATACTAGAGGTTTTGTGTTTACTTACATTGGTGATCTGTTCTGGGATCTACACACAGAGACTGCCTTGAATCGGCTGCATCCTTGCAGGCTCACTCTGAGCTTTGCTAGGTAGGGTAGGGCCTGCAGGCCTGGCCTTACTTGATTGCACCGTTGACACAGGTTCCTGTCAGGATTCACCATTCAGTCCCCTGTAGCCCAACATTCCCCTCTAGCTGGAGGGGAGGGGAGCCCCTTCCTGGGGTGCTGCACCTTCACCATGGTCCCTGCCCTGCCTGCTGTTTGCTTACCTGTGTGCAGGCGGGTGTCAGGATTCCCGCAGACTTAAAGGGAGTAGAGTTCATCTCTGCCTGGTACTCTGCCCTAGGAATTCTCCACCTCGACCCTTCTGAACTTGTCACCTTAATCCCAGGGCTTCCCAGCCTCCCCTCTGCTCTCTGGCCTTGAGCTTGGCTTCCTTAGCACTTTCCCTTCCCTTAGGCATCAGTGTTCCTCACAGGCTGTTAGTGCCTGAAGACCTTTGTCAGATACGGTATCATTTTCCGGTTTGTTTGCTTCCGGCAGGAGTGCAAACCCAGCTTCCTAATATAATTTTGTTTTTACTGTCTGAGCCCTCCCACCCATTAAAAGCTTTTCTCAGTGTCTTAACTATCCTGGAGCCAGGAACCCACCGTAGCTAATTTACTATACCCCTTCCTCCTGGTCAGGGCTCCTGACCCCTGCACATCTCCTGTGCCTCTGTGAGAGCAGGGAAGAGCCTGATGGGCTGGAAAAGTTGAAGGAAGTGAGACCTAGAGGGAGGTGGGCTTCTCCGACAAGAGCATGTGGGGTGAGATGGGTGTGCTGAGGCCAGAGCCTGCAAAACTTTTGGATCCCAGAGCAGGCAGGACTGGTCCTGCGCCAATCAGTGGCCTGGGAGGCAGGCAACCTAGAGTGTGTGTCTGGGAGCCGTGGTGAGTAAGTAACATAGGACATCAGGTACGGCCCATTGAGATGTTACCCCAGGACTGAGAAAGATGAAGACTGAAGGTCCAAGGAGGGAGCATCGTGGCACCAGAGCATGTGCCCAGGGAGCTTCTCACATCTGCTTCGCCCCCTCTCTTGCAGACTGTGCCTGCAGAGTCCCTACCACCTCAGTGATGGGAGAGCAGGGTCCTATAGGACCTTCATTCTGCTCACTCGAGCCATGAATCATGTGACATGGCCTTACCCTACCCTCGTTTCTTGGCAGCACATGGGAAAAGGACAGCCCCAAAGTACAGAGCTGGGAGTGGAGGGTTGAGGTTAGGGCAGAGCAACCCAGCTGTGTTGGAGACAGCTGAGGGCCTCGGCCATCTCCTAGCATGTCCTGTCTGTGTGTGATGTCTTTCTACAACCCCTCATCTCCTCCTTATAGTGCCAACCGACTGTCCTGTCTCTGGTCACAGGTTGATGTCCGTGGAGGAGGAGCTGAAGAAGGACCACGCTGAGATGCAAGCAGCTGTAGACTCTAAGCAGAAGATCATTGATGCCCAGGTGGGGGCTCTGGCCACAGGTGTTAGAGGACCTGGGATAGAGAAAGGGACTTGGACTTTGTCATCCTCAGTCATACCTCATTGCAGAATCTGAGAACTGGATCCCAGGGACTCTGAGAAGCCTGTGGTCTAGCACAGGGCGTGAAAAAGGAACAGTCAGCCCCTCCCCCACTGGGCTGCTTTGGTGGGCGATATCTTTCACAGGGATGAGGTGTTGACCAGTGGGAATGGAGAAGGCAGGGCTGGAGGAGGTGACAGCAAGCTGGGCAGAGGAACTGTGGAGAGGAGAGACATGCCAGGGGCTCTGGCCTCCAGTCCCTTCCCTCAAGACTCCTAATGAACCAGGATTTGGCAGGCCTCCTCAGATTGTAAACTACACAGCCTGGGAGTTCTGACCTCTGGTTGCCTCACATTCACAAATGCAAGCGTGCCTACCTTTGGGCCTCAGGTAGCCATAACTCCACTTTAGCTGTCTAGGTCTAAGGTGGCACAGAACCTCCTCCATTTGGTGCCAGCCACTCCACAGCCTGGGGCTTTCCCATGCTTGACAAGTACACACCCCAGGCTTCCTTCTCCAGTGCCCATAGACAGTCCTTTGCAAACCATGGTCCTCTCTGCAGCCCAGAGCCCATCCTGGGTCCCACTAATGTTTTCCTTGCCCACAGGAAAAGCGCATCGCCTCCCTGGATGCTGCCAATGCCCGCCTCATGAGTGCCCTGACGCAGCTGAAAGAGAGGTACAGCATGCAAGCCCGTAACGGCGTCTCCCCCACCAACCCCACCAAATTGCAGATTACTGAGAACGGCGAGTTCAGAAACAGCAGCAATTGCTAACCTGCCTGAGGAGGGAGGAACCTCCCCAAGGAGAGGGAGACTGTGGTGGTCCAGGGCAGGGTCTCGGTCAGGAAGCTCCCCACAGTTGCAGACTGTGTGGGTGGCAGGAGGCCGAGGCGCTCCCCTCCCCTCGCCCATTGTCCAGGAGGCAGTGGAGGGAGCACAGAGACTGATGCAGTGCAAGGCTGCGGGCACAGCGCTCCCCTTCTCTTCGGCCGCCCGCCTGTGCAGCGGTTTGGGTAGAGGCAGCAGAGACTGCACGCGGGGGAGTGGGGACAGCCTGGAGGGAGGCCTGCCACACATGTCTGTTGGTTGTTGAATTTGGTATGTGTCACCTTTTCCTCCTTGACCAGCCATGTGCATGTACCCCATACCCTGTGCCAGAGAGGGAGCTGCCTGGAGAGGGGTCAAGTAAGGGCTGGGGTCACTTCTGTGGGTTCCTCTCACCTCCTGGGGCCCGGGACTCTGGCCACCAGGCCTCTGCTCCAGGGGACATGGCACTGATGAGGTTGTCTGCAGGCAGGAAGACAATGGGGAGGACACAGGTATTGATTCTGTGGCCCCTGCTCATCTCTGCCACTGCATGCTGCCCATCAGGGACCTCCTGTCTGTGTAGAACTGAAGGTTTATCCTGCCCCCATGCCTGCCCCAGACTTGCCACCCTCCACCTCTGTCCCTTCCATAGTTACATTGCCAGTGAGGATCATCACACTTTCTCTTGTGGGCCCTCATAGCTGTGGGAGGATCCTGGGCCTGGGCTCATCTCTTGGGGCTCCCAGAAGCCAGAGAGCTGGGCAGAGCTGGCCAGGTGGCACCGTGCATTGTAGCTGCCTTTTCCAGGGGCCCAGTGCATCCACAGGCACAGTGGCCCTGTGGGGAGTGGCCAGCTGGTGCTCACCCCGAAAAGGTGATCTTTTCTCTGATGGTTTAAAAGAAAAATTTTAAGGCCTGCAGGCCCTTAGAAGGTGGATAACTGTGATTTTTTTTCCTTTCACAGTATGCATTAGAAACAAAAGCCCGCTTGCTCGCTTGCTGGAACACTGGGGCCTTTTAAATTGAGCGTGCGCACTGCATGGGAAATAGCAGCCCTGGAGGATGTTAGACTTGCTCCCTCTCCAAGACAGCAGCAGCCTGCACCAGGCCCCGTGTGTGCAGCCGCCTCTCCTCACCCTTCCAGGCCCCAGCCAAGGACCCAGGCACTGCAGGCAGGGGAGGGGCATACCCCGCAGCTGGGGCTGGTTTTCCTCAGCTCTAGGCTGTTCTGTAGCATATCTGCCCCTCCCTCCTTTGCAGGACAGAGATGGGCAGGAGCTTGGGTCTCTCTCGGCCCTCATCTGTTCCCATGCCCTAGAATCTAAGCCCTGGTTCTAGGTGACCTAGGACAGGAGCTGGGGCCTTTACCCATAGAACCAGGGCTAAGTGAGCTGACCTCTGCCCCTGGAGTCCCCATTAGGAAGGGTGGAAGTACTAGAGGGGTGGCCTAGCCATGCTGCACCCCATCCTCAGCCCATGGATAGGCAAAGGCTAATGCTCTGGGAGGGGTTTTTAGATGTAACCTACAACCCAGTTAGGCTGCAGACAGATGCTGGGGCAGGAGAGAGGGCTCAGCCATCAAGGGTCAGAGACTTCAGGGAGGAAGGAGGTGGGGCCAAGGTCCTACCCCTGCCCCTTCCTGCCCTGCTCCTGTTCACACCCCTGGCACCTGTGAGTTTCAGGGAGGCCTCTTGGGCAGGGCCTGGCCTGGGTCTTGTCCTTCCTCTACCCAGGGAGCCCTGCTTTCCTCCCCTCCCACTTTCGCCCATGCCTCATAAAGTGACCTCGGACTGAGCGCCTCCTAGCAATATGGGGATCCCCAGGCCTGGACAGGAAGGCGCAGGGCCAGACGCCGTGGCCCTTTCGAGGGGTTGTTAGCTCTCGGGCCGAGAGCCTTATTTACCTAGTGCAAAAACTGTAAAAGTGTACAGACTCTCCACAGATTTTTATCTTAATTGCAAGTCTGCCGATTTTTGTAAATGTTCTTGGTGTTTGACTGTAATGGAACTATTTCACCCAAGGGATGTACATAGTCCTTTAGTCCTGGTGCTGCAAGGGCTGGCCCGGACCGCTGCTCTCATGGTTGGTATTGTAGCCTAGAGATCGGTGCTGGGCAGGACGAAGAGCTTTGAGATCTGGTGTATCTCTTTCCTGCCCAGGGCATTGATTTGTTGGCTTTACAGTATGCTGCTGAGAGAGAGGCTGATGGGGGCAGGTGCCCTCAGTGGGGCCAGCAAAGCATCCTTCTGCCCATAGCCTCTGCTTACAGCCAGGGCTGGGATTGCCAGAGGCCCTGAGGGAAGGACAGTCCCTTCTCAGGGAAGACCAAGCCCCAAGGCTCCCTGGCCACCATGACCTGGGCTCTGCAGGAGAGAGCTGCCCCTTCCCCTGCTAACACAGAAACCTGACATTTTTGCTCAACTTGTATGTTCAGGGTGAAGGAAACTGCCAAACTCCCTTTGAGCGAAGACTTTCTCTGACTGCCCAGGAGGGGGTGGGGACCAGGGCCAGTGCCCCACATGTAACCCCAGCACCTGCCCAAGGGACACCACTCCCTCAAACCCATCTGTCTGGGAGCCAGACTGTCCAGGGAACCAGCCCCTCTTTTCTACACACTTGGCCACAAAGCCACCCCTGTTCCCCCACCACACCCAGGTTCTCCCATTTTGTAAGTATGTGAAAAGAAAAAAAATGCAAATGTCAAGAGTTGGCTGGAGTTGCTCCTTTAGCCATGACTTTTAACCATGTAATAATGTACAGAGAAGTTGTTGGTGTTCTAAGACTCTGTGTGGCTGTGCAATTTCTGTACATTTGCAATTAGAAATATTAAAGATTTATTTAGCTATTTTAAGCCTGTCTCGCCTCTCCATTCAGCTACGTTCTGGTGATTTCACATGGGTGACTGAGTGACTGATGCTGTTCTTTTCCAGCCACAGCCCCTCACTGAGTGAGCTGGGGTTACCCCCCCTTCTCCAGAGTTTGTCTGCACCAGGTAGTGGAGCAGCTGATCTCTTAAAGACCCTCCTCTGGCTTCCATGTGCTGGGAAGAGGTCTTTGTTGGCCCTACTGCTTCCAGGGAGAGAGAGCAGCCCCTTCTCTGCTCCCCCAGAGCATGGTTCTGCATGAAGTCCTGTACCGCCCACTATATCCTGGCCACAGGAGGGATAAGACCAGGGAGAGCAGAGGGTTGGCCTAGGGTCAGTGAGTCAAATTGAGTCAACTAAGTGTTTCCAAGCTTTCAGCACCTGGAAAGGTCAACATGGCCCCTTCCTGAGTCAGACCCACCAGCAAAATGGCCCAGAGTTGGGAATAAAGCGGCCTGAAGCACTTCAGTAGCACCCGCTGTGTGAGAATCTTGCATGCCTGGGCCTTTGCCCAGGATTTATCAGCATTTGGGGGGGGGGGGTCTCATCATCTTTCAGTGTGTAATAGTTATGGATGGCACACACGGGCAGCCCAGCTATACAGTGGCAACAGCATGCACAAGCCCAAACCCTCAGAAATGGTACAGGCGTGGACTGAGGTTCTGCTGACAGGTATGTGTGTGGTCAGATCAGCAGTTGAAACACTGGGTCGCTATCTCCAGCTGGCGACTGAGGCCCTGGTTCTCCAGCATTTCAAGAGAAGCCCTGGCTGGAGCTGTTCCTGTTCTTGTCTCTGGAGCTGTTCCTGTTCTTGTCTCTGGAGCCAAAGGGAGGTGAGATGCATTGGCGCCACCAGCCAGAGCAGCCCACCTTTGTCACCTGTCCAACACCTGGGCCGCCTCCCTCCTCTCCCGACTGGCCACTCCTGAGGTCCACCCTGGGTTATCATCCCTCCTGCCCCAGCCTCTGGGCCTTTACCTTTGTCCAGCTCTCATTGTCCAGGGCACCCATCATACTAGCCTTTTCTCCAAGCCTGTCATGTCCTCAGTCCTGGGTCCATCCAACTTCAGTGCTATGTGTGGCTGAGCCTTGCATATTGTTCCATGCCCCTATAGTGTCTGTCTCCTGGTTAATCCAAGCTTGTCACCCACATGCTAGCTGTCCCCTATGAGAGCCAGGCTTTCTACTATATAGGGGTCCCCAACCTCCCCAGGCCCACTCCTAGCCGTCCTGGACCTCAGCACTCCACAAAGGCACAGGTGTCCTGTTTCCCAAGGCAGTCCCCAGCAGGTCTCTACACCCCTCTGCCTGCCTCCTGCTTCCATGATCCCTCTTGAACATTGGGGCATGGCCCATGTGCCCCTAACTTTCTTGATCCTCTTCTACTGTCTTAAGTGCTGAGGTGACAAGTACCACACCCAGTTCATGCAGTGTTGAGAACTGAGTTTATGGCTTCATGTGTGCTAGGCAAACATTCTACCAGCTGAGCTACATCCAGCCCCTCCCTTTTCTTTGGCCAAAATCTCACTTTACAGCACCTCCCAAGTGCTGAGATTAAAGGCCTGCATCCCATATCCAGCCTTTTCCATAGCTTTCTACAGTGCCAGATAACCTGCTCTGAACTGTTATCTTTTTCCTCTTAGCCCAGCTTTATAAAGTATGCATCCACAGGGACCTGCCCTCCCACAATGATCCTCTCCAAACCCCCAGCCCAGCAAAACCTGACTTACCTCCTGGCTGCCTGTCCACTCCCTCATTAAGTCCATGGATCCCTTCACTGGGGCTGTGCCATGGGGGTCAGTGACACCGCAGTGACACGGAACTCCACCTTCAGTGAATAGGAGGAAGAGAAAAATCATGTGGTGATGGAAGGAATTCCTAATGAAGATGCAAAGACTAAAAACTATCTATGAATAAAAGAGCACCGAGCAGAAGCAAACAGAAGACCAAATAAAAGAATGAAATGGAAATGACAGAAGGGGCTGAGAGATGGCTCTGTGGTTAAAAGCACTGGCTGCTCTTGCAGAGGACCCGGGTTTGGTTCCCAGCACATGGCCACTAACAACCATCCCTAACTCCAGTTCCAGGGGAATCTGACGCCCTCTTCTGACCTCCTGGGGCATTATACAACATGGGTGCACTTACATGCAGGCAATACACTCATACACACAAATTTAAATTTTTTTAAAGAAGAAAATAAAACAATTACAGAGACTTAACACACCACTAGCCTAAAGTTTATTATAGATCAAAGAGGAAGAATAAGACTCTAGAGGGTTTTAAGAACTTTAATAAACGGGCCTGTCAAGCTTTTACCCCAGTGAGACCTAAAGTTGGCTACCCTGAGACTCGAAGAAAACACCTGCCAATTGCCCAGGTATTCTAGTTTGTTTTAAATTGTGACAAAACACTGACCAATACCAACTTGGGGCAACGGTTTATTTGGCTTACATCTCCCAGGTCACAGTTCATCACTGAGGGAGCCTAAGACAGGAGCTTAGGGCAGGAAACTAGAGGCAGGAGCTGAAGCACAGACCAGGAAGGAATGCTGCTGACTTACTCCCCTGATCCGTGCTCAGCCTGCTTTCTTATACAATACAGGACAACTTGCCCAGGTGGCACCACCCAGGCTAGGCCCTCCCACATCACTCATCAATCAAGAAAATATCCCACAGACATGGCCACAGGACAGTCCAATGGAAACAATTTCTCAATTGAGGCTCCCTCAACCCAGGTGTGTCAAGTTGACAAACGCTATCCAGCACAACTGACCACTTGTCAGTTTGACACATAAACACACTGCAGTTAAAGGACAGTTTTTCCATTTCTTGTCCCCAAGATATGATAACATTAATATCACAACATAAGACAGTAAAGCCTTAAGAGTCCCACAGTCCTTAAGAAATCCAAACACTTTAACAGTCCAAAGTCTCTTTTAAAAGTCTCTTAGGGGCTGGAGAGATGGCTCAGTGGTTCAGAGCACTGGCTGCTTTTGCAGAGGACTTGGATTCCATCCCCAGCACCCATGTGGCAATTAACAACCATCTATAACTCCAGCTCCAGGGCATCTGATGCCCTTTTCTGGCCTCTATGGCATTGCATGACACAGGTGCATTTACATGCAGGCAGTATACACATACACATAAAATACTATTTTATGTATATATGTATATAAAAGTTTTAACTGTGGAGTCCTGTAAAATCCAAAACAAGTACCATCTTATTTCAAAGGGAAGACTCAGGCACACCTAAGCAAAACCAAAGTCCAGCAAATATGCTCAAGGCTAGACATCTGGGATTCACTCCCCAACTTCTGAGCTCCAAAGGGTTTTGGCAGCTCCACTTCTCTGGCTTTGCCATCCACAGCACACACAGCTTGTCTCAGCAAGCCCAGCCCGAGACATTCCATTCCACACCTGCTGCTACCCTTGGTGGTCATCCCATGGTCCTGGCACCTCCAAAAAGCTGGGGTCTCCACTGAAACTGAGGCTACACCTTCACCAATGGCTTCTTCTGGCCTCTCAGGGTGCAAAGTCTCAGATTCTCTCTGTGACCCCTTCAGTCCTGGGGGTCTTCACCGAAACTGAGGCTGCACTTCCACAAATGGCCTTTCCTAGCCTCTCAGGATACCAAGCCTCAGCTGCTCTCTGTGACCCCTTCACACTTTCAACACCAGAACCATGCAGGAGACTTACACATTACCAAGTCCTGCTTCCAGCCTGAGATGGAGGCTTGGGCCCCCTCTGGACCACAACTTCTATGTGCTGACCCTGAAGAAACACTTCCCAGAAGATTTCACTTCAATGATGCTGGTCTCTTGTTACAGCTGATTTTTTTCAGCCCCAGCTAACCAGCATCAGTTGTCCCAGCAAAGCAAAAGTTTTACTTCAGGTTCTGGTCTCTTCTTAATCACAGCTGATTCTTCAGCCCCAGCCGACCAGAAACCACAGTCTCAATTCAAAATATCACACAAACAGCCCTGATAATCTCCGCTTCCCTTTAAAGCTTGACAAGCCAGGCCTCCATTGTCTACAACTCTTTCGGCATACCTGTTCCAAGCTCCACAGCAACACACTCTAAGCACTCAATGGCTTTTCTAGCCCAAAGTTTCAAATGCTTCCACAATCCCCAAAACAGGTCTGTCACAGCAATAACCCACTTTTGTACCAATTTCTGTTCTATCTTCAATTGCTGTAACAAAACACTGACCAATACCAACTTGGGGAGGAAACGATTTATTTGGCTTACATCTCCCAGGTCACAGTTCATCACTGAGGGAGCCCGAGGCAGGAGCTGAAGCACAGGCCATAGAGGAATGATGCTTACCGACTTACTCCCGTGACCCATGCTCAGTCTGTGTCTTAGTTTGTTCTTCATTGCTGTGATGAAACACTCTGACCAGTACCAACTTGGGGAGGAAAGGGTTTATTTTTCTTACATCTCCCAGGTCGCACGCAGTTCATCAGGGAGCCCAAGGTAGGAACTCAGGGCAGGAACCTGGAGGCAGGAGCTGGAGCACAGGCCATGGAGGAACGCTGCTTACAGGCTTGCTCCCTTGGCCCCTGCTCAGCCTGCTTTCTTATGCAACACAGGCCCACCTGCCCAGGGGTGGCACCACCCACAGTGGGCTGGGCCCTCCCACATCACTCATCAAGAAGATGGCCCTCAGACATGGCCACAGGCCAGTCCAATAGAGGTAATTCCCCAATTGAGGCTCCCTCAACCCAGGTGTGTCAAGTTGACACTAAAGCTATTCAGCACAGCCTGCTTATACAATACAGGACAATTTGCCCAGGGTGGCACCGCCCAGGCTAGGCCCTCCCACATCACTCAACAATCAAGAAAATACCCCACAGACATGGCCACAGGCCAGTCCAATGGAAGCAATTGCCCAGTTGAGGCTCTTTGAACCCACATGTGTCGCGTTGACAACCAAAGCTGTCCAGCACACCAGGGAATCAGTTTAGGCTACATCTTGGGACTTGAA